GACTTTCTTACCTCATCAGGTAGGTAAAGAAATACCTTTTTCATCTGAAAAATTCACAGAAGTCTTGAAGCAGTTTTCAGTAAAATCTGGATCAGTGCAAGCCGAGATCATGAAGAAGACAATTGAGGAGTGTGAACAACCTGTGATTCAAGGTGAGGAAAGACATTGTGCAACCTCACTGGAGTCAATGATTGACTTTAGCACCTCCAAGCTTGGGGAAAATGTCAATGCAATCTCTACAGAAGTGGAAAATCAAACACAGAAGCAGGAGTACACAATTGAAGCTGGAGCAAAGAAGATGGCAGGTGAAAAGTCAGTAGTTTGCCACAAGCAGAATTATGCACATGCTGTCTTCTACTGTCATGAAACAAAAACAAGAGCTTACATGGTTCCTCTAGAGGGAGCTCATGGGACGAAAGCAAAAGCAGCAGCAGTCTGCCATACAGATACATCAGCATGGAACCCAAAACATGCACAGTGGCGGGGGAGGGGGGTGCAAGGGGGGGCGCTAGTCCCTCCTAAAATTTGAAAATCTTTGTAAATTAATATATGAAAATTTATTTCACCCTCCCTAAAATTTAAAAATTTTATAAATTAGCATATAAAAAATTATCTCGTCCCCTGAAAAAAAATTCTGGCTCCGCCCCTGAACATGCGGTTTTTCGAATCCTCAGAGTTAAACCAGGAACCTTTCCCATCTGTCATTTCCTTCCTCAGGATCACATTGTCTGGGTTGCTAAGCAGAAAGCCTCCAGAATAGACCCAAACCGTTTAATTCCTTACAACTACCAAATTGGAATGTAGTTTGAAGCAAAACAGATCAAAACAATACTCACCTAGTTTTATAATAATGTACTTAAACTTCCAGTCTTCCATGATCGATGTTTAGTTATGCATGTACATAATGATGAGTTGTGTATAGAATATGTTGGCACTTTCACATAATGATGGTTGAATGATAATTGAATCAACTGGAATTCCATTCCCTCAAAGGAACTACTAAAAAGAATATTTTTTTAAAAAGGACCCTTATTATATACGAACAAAATTTGCATTATTATTAAAAAAAAAAAAAGCATTAAATTATCTAGCAATAAACATTCACATCTGATCCTTTCAGCTGTCGTGTTCTTAGAATTAAAAAACCTTTGCACAAAATCAATGACATGAAAAGGCAGGGTAAGATCACAGGTTTATCTCATTCTTTTTTCTTTTCTTTTTTTTTTTAATAGAGAATAGCATTAATCAGACATTAAATACCGGGCTAGCAAACCCCTACAATATCCGTAGTCCATAACAAGCCCACTTCAGGCGGGTAATCATACCAAATGGCCAAATTAGAAGGGGACGCAGGACCCTTCTTGGCGATAGCATCCACCACCATATTACCCTCCCTGAGTATGGGCTTGAGGTGTATTCAAAAGGGCCGTGCAATTCAAAATAAGAGTGCTGGGAGGGATGATGAAAATTAGTATCACCAGTAAGTAATTGCACAGCAACTTGACAATCTATCTCAATAATAATTTGCTGAAAATGAAG